CCGGCGCGCGCCCGCCCGCGGGGCCGGCGGCCGGCGAGCTAGAGAACGAGGTGAGCGAGGTTGCGGTACGCGGCCAGGCGACCTAGCGGGCCGGGTGTGAGCACGCTGGAGGTCCCAGGTCACGGGCCGGGTCGGGGACCGGGTCGGCCGCGCCCACCCCGCGCCCCGCCGCGCTCCCGCCCGCGCTGACAGCTCGGGAACCGACTTCTGCGGCGAACTGCCCCAAACGGGGAAGTGCGGGGAGCGAACCACCGTACGCCGCGGCAGGAGGAGGCCAGGCGGGGCACCCGGCCCGGAGTCCGCCCGATCCCACCCAGCTACACCTCCCTATCGGAAACCACAGGAAAACACACACGACAGCTGCACTACTCTCCCTCGGCCCCGAGTCTCGACGTGGACAACGCGGCCCATCCGTCACCAGCCTCCCTCCCCCTGCTCGGAGGACCCCAGGTGGTTCGGTCCACAACTGGGCCTCTTCCATTGGCTCTGCAGTCAGGGGGTGACCACAGGGGCCCGGACCAAACCATTCCGGCCACTGACTCCCTGGCAGCCTTTTTGGACCAGGGCAGAACCTTCCGCGATTGGTCCGAAGCCATTTTGGAAGTGGGCACCACCAACCGGTTCTAAAGGAGGAACTCCAAGCCCTGAAGAAGGGGTTCCAAATGTTTGCATGATGAGGGGACAGCGCTATCTCAGCAGGTCTCAACCTTTGCACCCTTTGAACCAGGGTGCGTCTTTATGTGGGTGTTGTCCAGTACTTTGTAGGATGTTGAACTGCATCCCTGGCCTCTACCTACTCCGTGCCATAACAGCACGCCCCACAAAACATGTCCCCAGTCATTGCCAAATGACCCTGGGTGAGAGAGAATCACCCTCGGTTGACAAGCACTTGTGTTTGGACTCCACACTGGGTTATCATTCAAAGCTACCTATGCTGATGCTTTATTCCAAGTATGATGTCATTTTTAAGCTAGAAAAGGATGATGGGGACCAGCAGATGGCGTAATGGTTATGTTGCTAGACTCCCACGTGGGTGACTGAGGTTCGAACCCTGCATCCGGTCACTTAAAACGCTGGGTACATGTGCACGTGTGCCCAAAATCGCAAGAGGAGAATGGACGAGAGGGGACTGCAGTGTGGCCATCCTCCCTCCCCCCGGGGGCGGGGGCAGGGGTGATTTCTCACTTTCTGTCTGTCTCTCTGCGTGTGTGTGCGCGCGCGCGCGCGCGCACACACACACACACACACACACACACACACAGGACAAATATATGTAACATCCCAATGCAACCACAGCCTGCACATAGGAAGTTCCCTTCAGTTTGCAGCCTCAGGCACTATGTCTCCTGGACTCAGCCGAGAACTAAGGCACATACAGCTACTCACCAGCCTGAGCTTCCTGCTTCTGCTTCCGCTCTGCCATCTCCAACTAGACCATGTAGCAGGGAGAAGCTCTTCACATCCAGCTTTCCAGATCCCTGTAACAACAGCTGTTCAAGAATCCTAGCCTAATCCGTTCTCCACAAGTGTGGGGCTGGGAGGATTTGTGACGCGTAGAACGAAGAGGATGAAGGAACATCAGGATGGCACCGGGTGGCTCTAACTGGAATCTGTGGGAATCAGGTGGTTATTCCCACCTCCCGGACTTATTACACTGGAGAGAGGGCCCCACGATCAGAGCTTCTGAAGCCTCTTCTGGCGCTTCTCATTCTTTCAGACCACTTGTGCAACTTAATCTTTCTATTCAGCATTCTCTATTTATTGAACGCTCATCCGATTTCCTCCACAATGGCAAAGACCACATCTGTTTTGCTTACCAGAGAATCTAAAACCAAAATAGTTCCTGGCCCACAAAAGGCATCTAGTATCTGCTTAATGGAGATTATAGTTATGTTTACATATAATAGATACAATAAATATTCATTAGTATCAGGGCACATCTCTCCTTCACACCAATTAATTTCATTCCATAGTGTCTATCACACGCCATCCTGTAAATTACTCTAGGTTAGCTATTCTTATTTTCAAACCCCAAGCATATGAAGAAAAGCAATAATTAGAAAATAATAGTAGTATCAATAATAATGAAAGGGTTTTTTCTTTAAATGATTACTTAATTTTATTATTATTTTAATTTGGCCAGAGAAAGAGAGGAAAGTGAGAAAGCAAGCTGCCAGGTCCAAGACTTGAACCACGGTCAGCCATGTGGAAGTCCAGCACCTTACCACCATACCATCTGCCAGGCTTAATAATGAAGGTTTTTAAAGAATTATTTAATTTTATTCATTATCGTTTGTTTGTTTATTTATTTATTTATTTATTTATTCATTTATTCATTTTTAAGTCAACCAGAGAGATGCAGAGAGAGAAAAGGAAAGTGAGAAAACAAGCTGTTGCTCGAATCAGGGTCAGCCATGTGGGAGTCCAGCAACCTTAACCACCATGCCACCTGCTGGTCCCAATAGTAGTTTTTATTTGTTGAGGGCTTACAATGGCAGTCAGCATACTACATTTTACTGTAATTTATCCCAGTTGTCCTAGCCAAATAGTAAGTATTTTGCTTTGCTGGCAACATGTTTTGTTGCATATTCTTCTTCCTCTTCTTTCTTTTCTTTTCCCTTTTCTCCTTTTTCTTCTTACAACCCTTTAAAAATGTGGATTTGGGGATGACTGGTGGCATGACTGTTAGGGTGTTGGATTCCCACATGTCTGACCACAGTTTTAGTCCCAGACCTGGTGGCTTGTCTCACTTTCCCTTTCTCTCTCTTTCTGTATCTCTCTGGTGAAAATTTAAAATAATAATAACAAATAAAATTAAATAACAATTCTTTTAAAAAAAATGTAAACATCACTCTTAGATAGCAAGCCATACAAAAACAAATCATGACTAGAAGTGGATAATACATGATCTCCATTTTGAAGATGAGATTAAAAGTGCAGCCTAAAGAAGGAAGCATCTAATATATTTTTGTTTTTCTGTAGACCTACAGTAGAATGAAAGCACCATATGACCTGTAAATTTTGTCTTCTTTGCTCGCTTCTGTTCCTCCAAGCGCCTGGAACAGTGCCTGAGACACAGTAGGTGCTCAATAAATATGTGTTGAGTAAAGAAACGAATGAATGGACTACTGATTACTTCAGGGAGGTTGTGGTTGCAGAATTCTGGTCACATTTTGCTTCTTCCCCTGGTATTAATAAGTGTAGGGATGAGTTAGTTCAGATTTAGAGGTAGGACAGAGGATGCTTGGCGCAGTCATTTGCCCTCACTCAAAATGGCGACGAGGCAGCTTGCCCTTTCCGGTCACATGACCTGCCAGTCGCAGACAGGCACCTCCCCGCGCGTGCGTGCTGCGCCGGGGCTGCGAGGCGCTGAGGGGAGAGGCGCCGCCGCCAGCGCCGCGGTGGGACCCGTTAGAGCGGAAGCGCTGCCGCCGCGGTCTTCGCGGTCCCGGGGCATCTCGTTCCCGGCAGGTGGGAGGCGGGAGCCATGTCGAAGCGGCTCCGGAGCAGCGACGTGTGCGCTGACTGCAGCGGGCCAGGTGAGTCGCACCGACCGGGCCCGCGCCCCTCATCTGTCCTGACTGGGACCCCTGGCCCGGGGCGGTCCCCTCCGGCCGGGCTGGTTCCAGCGGCCGAGCCTCGCACCCTGCGGTTGGGATCGCAGCCAAAGGGTCCCGGAGAGGCCTTGGGGCGGGACTCGTGCCGGGCCTGTCAGAACCGTGCGGGCAGGGGCCCGCCACCTTCCGTCCCTCTCGTCACTCCCTGCCTCTCGTCACCTACGTCCCAGACTGGCCGGGGAGGCGGCGGGGGCCGGAGCCGCTCCTCCGACAGGAAGGGGCTTGAGTAATCCACAGGAAGGCCAATTACAGAAGTAAAGTGCGAGCGTCCTCCCTGCTGCCGCCCCCAAAGGCTGCAGGTGTCACCCCTCTTTGGACCCCCGTCCTGCAAGGGGGCCCAACCCGAGAGGGGCGACACTCCCTCCTTTCCTCCCCAAGGCTCGCGGGAGGGCTCCAGCCTGGTGGCCACTCCATCGGGACAATCTCCAGGAGGTCGGGGTCTTGCAAACTCTACTGGCCTTTTGGAGGCAGGGCACGTCTCAAGTTTGAGAGTCCAGACAGGCTGGGTTCAAACTAGATTTGGGCTCTGAGTGACCTTGGGTTGATGATTTCATTTGGCTGAGCCTTGATTTCCTCCTCATTTTTCCCATGGGGATAATTGGGAATACCATGTTCAGTGGTTAGGAAGATCCCGTGAATATTCTTAGGATCATCTCTTGTTTTCTTTTTCTTGTTTTTGGTATCCTGTTATTTATTACAGAATCCTTGCATCCCTTCATGCTAGAATTTCCAAATCATTAATCACAATTGAAAGCACAAAATCATTGGGAACATAAATAAATAAGGGCATTGAAAGGCCAAAACCAGAACCATTCATCTCATGCATAATATTCAGATTTAGAGATCAGATCTGTCTCAGCAATTGGAACTGAACTGACAGGTCTCTGGGTAGATTATTATATGTTATTTTCAGGTACTTGGTTTTGTCGGCTTTGAGTTTGAAGTAATTCCAAGGTAGGATGACTTCCTTGGCACAACAGTTTTCAATAAACAATCTTAATTAAATCATTGAACACAAGCGCCTTTGCAACTGTTCTGATCTTCCTCTTGTCATTTGGAAGCGGAGGCTGATTTTTTTTTTTCCCCATGGAAAAGTCATGATGCATTTTGGCATAGAAAAATATGTCATGACTTTTCAGACGACCCAATAGTACTGTGATAATGCAGACAGACCTTCTGTAGTTATTTTATGGTATCGCCCTTTTTTTTCCCTGAAAAAATAGAGGATGGAGGAGCTTTTAAAAAGGTGTTTTATAAACCAAGTTAGTGTGGGTTATACAAACTCCCTTCGTTTTCTCTAAAAATGTTATCTGTTCCACTTCCTATTTTCTTGCCTGTTTTCAGTTGAACTTTGTGATGTGTTTGATTCACATGTATCTAGCTTCGAACTTCCTCTTGGAATCCATGTTCTTCACTTCCCAATAGATGATATGGGACAAAGGAAAATTGCTTCTCCGTGGCCACCCTAAGTACTATCTTGCAGTTTGGCAGTGTGCTGTGCATTTCAGAAGGTTTTCTCTTCCATTGTATCGTTTTACTTGCTGTCTCCTATGCCTAATCTGCAGAGACTTGAGTCACTTCCTTCCTGTTTTGAATATAATTAGGCTACCTTGAAACGTTCTGTGAACTTGAGCAGTGAGGAATTTGTGCTGCATTTTCTGCAAAGCACTAGTGAAAGTGTTACCTGTAGGATTGGGGACCCCTTTGGAAGCCTGACGAATGCTAAGTTCTTCCTCCCAGAAAATGCACGTGTACTTACTCTTTTGCACAGAATTTATGTAAGATTTTCCTAGTGAGGGGAGACATTTTTGGAGTCCATTTGTAATACCATGAAATCTTGATTAAGACGTTCTTCCAGGGGCCAGCAGGTTTCCTAGTGGAGGGGAGGAGGGTATCACAGACATTTTTGGAGTCCATTTGTAATACCATGAAATCTTGATTAAGACGTTCTTCCAGGGGCCAGCAGGTGGCACAGCAGTAAATGCAATACTGTGATGCTAGACCACATGGGAAGGTCGTAGGTTTGCCTCCGAGGCCTTCTTGTGCATGTCAGGCAGCATATTCCAGACTGACCGAGGCCAGGGGGGGATCATGGTGTGGAGCCCTCTCTCTCTTAGAGATCCCTCACTCACTTTCTCTCTATTAGAAGAAATAAGTAAAAATAAACTTAAAAAAATAGAAGAACTATGGGACTAGCAGTTAGCGTAATGGTTTTATCACTGGACTCCCATGTAGTCCACCACAGTTCGAGTCCCAAACCCTGTGGCTTAAACTCACGCCGGCTGTGCATTCTCAAGATCCCAAGAGGAGAATGGAGGTGAAGGGATTGCGGCGTGGCCATCCCCCCGAGGGGTGATTTCTCACTTTCTGTCTCTCTGTCTCTCTCTGTCTTTCTGGCAAGCACATGCACCCTATAGCATAAACCTCTCCAAAAAAATAGAAGAGGGACCAGCAGTTAGCGTAATGGCTATGTTGCTGGACTCCCATGTATTCAACTGCGGTTCGAGTCCTGGACCTGGTGGTTTAAACTCACGCCATGCGCATGTGCGTACGTGCCCAAAATTCCAAGAGAAGAAAGGAGGAAAAGGGACTGTGGCGTGGCCATCCCCCCTGGGGGGTGATGTCTCACTTTCTGTCTCTCTCTGTCTCTCTGGTGAGCGCACACACCCTATAGCAAAAACCTCTCAAGAAAAAAAGAAGAACTAGCCCTTCCATTATAAACTAGAAGGATTTCACCCAGTTTCATTCATACAGATTCACCTGTGATTTTACTGTTAACAGTCTGTTCTTTCCATGGGCTTCTGGTCTATGATGGTAAAGTGATTAATCAAGAACTTCACTTTATATGCGTGCTGTATGTGCTGGCCTGTGGCCTCATGGTTATGGAAACCAGATCCCGCATGGCTGGCTGTCCAGTTCAAATCCCAGCACAGATGGCTTAGAAAATATGCCAGACCCTTGTGAGTGAATCCCCAGAATCCCAACTGGCTAGAGAAGTGGAGGAGATGAAATTGCTGTGTGTCCACCCCCCATGGGGGGTGCTTTCTCCCATTCAACTTATGATGAGGATACTCAAAGTTAAGTAACTTGCCTAACATTATCGTATAAGAAGTGGCAGAGTGGGGGTTCAGACCCTGGACTCTGTCTCCAAAGCCAACCCTCTTAACCACCATACTCTCTGGCTCCCAGGATTTGTCTCTGATTGAAATCCCATAACTTTTCATTATATGGTTTGAATGGGTTTGAATAAACCATTGAAAATGGTAAAGATGGTATGCATGCATTTTAGAGATTTTTGTGGACATTGAAGAATTTTAAAATGTAACCCTTAGACCAGGCAGCCTGAGTGGCACCTATTGTCACCCCATTGCAAGTCTGATGAAATGTAGGTCTTTCTTTATTTGGTGTTTCTTTTTTTTTTTTAATTTAACTTTATTCATTTATTTTACTTTAATTTGACCAGAGAGGGGAGGATCAGATCCGGTACTAGAACCATGGTTGGCCACGTGGGAGTGTCCCACGCCTTAACCACCGCACCACCTGCTGGTCCCGAGCTTTCCTTTCTAACAGTCAATGCTCATTAGGTTTTCCTGAACAGTTAAAACCAGCAAGTTATTTATTTATTTTGAAAGGTCTCACATATTTATTACTGAACCAACCTACCAATGCAGAACTTAGAGACAAGGTAAAGCATCATTTTTTTTCCCAATAAACACAAGTGTCCAGTCAATGGTGACCATTTTCAGCTTGATGTGGCAAGACCATAGTGACCTTGGTACAGCATAAATATGTAGGCCATATACTGTCCAATTCCTCATAGACCCAGCTTGGTTCTTCTCCAGTGTCTCCTCTTGGAGTTGTACCTGATTTTATTACCAGTTTTCATTCTAATCCACTAGGGAATAGGACGATTTTGCTTCTGTTTTTTGGCCAGAAACAGCTTGATTCTGAAAGTCTTGTGAGAAGACATGGCGAAGAGCCGAGTGGACCACTCACACCCTATTTGGTGTTTCTAAGTGTTCACTTTACTTATCCAGATCCATCCTCTTTACCAAGTGTGAATTACTCCTTGTTTCAAAGAATGTCTGATGAAGCTCTATGGGACTTCAAAGGAAAACAAAGTACTATACACAGACCAAAAGTATTATTCATTTTTATTTTACATCTTTGCCTCTGAGAAGCCACTATTATTGTAGCTTTTTCCGGATCAGTTGCAGTGTTGGACTCGGTAGTTTTAGTTTTATTTAAGACGACTGGTGGATATCATAGGATATTTCCTAGTGGTCCTGTCCGCAGAACCATAGCAGCAGAGTGATTTTACATTTACCACTTGCAGCTTTTTTGCTAAGCATATAGGTGTGTTGATTTGTAGCACTGGATTAGGGCAGCAGTCTTTTCAACATTTACTTAAGGAAATGCTATGCAGATTACTCACTTTTAAAATTATCTTGGGGCTGGCAGGTAGCATGGTGGTTAAGCTGCTAGACTCCCACATGGCCAACCATGGTTTGAGTACCAGATCTGGCAGCTTGCTTTCTCACTTTCCCTTTCTCTCCCTCCCTGTCTCTCTCTGGTCAAATTAAGAAATAGGGCCAGCAGGTGGCGTGGTAGTTAAAGGTGCTAGACTCCCATGTGGCCGACCACAGTTCAAGTCTCAGACCTGGTGGTTTGTCTCTCTCTTTCTTTCTTCTTCTGTCCCTCTTTGGTCAAATTAAAATGAAGGAAGGAAGGAAGGAAGGAAATTTGGACCCAGCAGGTCACATGGTGGTTAAGGGTGCTGAACTCCCACATGGCCGACTATGGTTTGAGTCCCAAACCTGCAGGTTTCCTTTCTCACTTTCTCTGTCTTTCTCTCTTTCTCTCTCTGGAAATATTAAAATAAATAAATAAATAAATAAAGTATTTTTTTAAATATAAAAATAAAGATAAAAAAGTGATTTTTTAAAATTATTTTTATTTAACTTCATTTATTCATTCATTTGTTTATTTCAGTTTGACCAGAGAGGGATAGAGAGAGAGAGTGAGCGCAAGCTGCCAGGTCCAGGGCTCGAACTGTCAGCCATGTGGAATCCAGCACCCTTAACCACCAAGCCACCTGCCAGCCCTAAAAGTGATTCTTTATTTAAAAAAAAAAATAGACATCATAACAAAGAAAATTAAATGAATATATAATTCTTTCCCCTTTTTTTGAAGAGGTTTTTGCTATAGGGCGTGTGCCCTCGCCAGACAGAGAGAGACAGACAGAAAGCAAGAAATCACCCCACCCAGGGGGAGATGGCCATGCTGCAATCCCTTCTCCTCCATTCTCCCCTTGGGATCTTAGGCACGCACGCATACATGCCCAGCGTGAGTTTTAAGCCACCAGGTCTTAAAACCAGGGGCTTGAACATGAGAGTCCAGTGACATAGCCATTACACTAACTGCTGGTCCTGAATAAATAATTATTTTTAAAAATTATATTATCTTGCTGTTTGTGGAAATGGATTCCAAATGATTCATCTGTATCCTGTTGATTTACTTCTCTTATGTTGAATGAAAGAGCATCCATCCAAGTTGGTAACTCCACGTTAGGCCAATGAACTGTGGCTTTAAACCACAAGGTGGATGAGTGCTTAATGAAGGCTTCAACTCCTGTTTTTCATCTCAGTTAGCATTCTATCTAATCAACCAAGATAGGTAGTACCATCAGACAGGATTGCTGACTTGATACGTTGATGAGCATTCTAAAGCAACAGCAGAAAGCCTCATTTTTCTGAAAAACCAAACCTCAGTCATCCTTGGCCATCTGGCAGCATAGCAGCCAACTGGTGTTCTTGCCACTGAGATTTCATTCTCTTTCCAGATCCTTCCTGGGCGTCAGTAAATAGGGGGACTTTCATATGTGACGAGTGCTGCAGTGTCCATCGGAGTCTAGGGCGCCATATCTCCCAAGTAAGGCATCTGAAACACACGCCATGGCCGCCAACACTGCTTCAGGTAAAGGATGAGAATTCTTCTCCGGTTTACAACTTATATTTTAGGGCTCATTGTTTTAGCAAGTAAAATTTCTCCTACTACTTATAGAAAATGTGCGAATCATAATTGGAATAAGGTACCATCAGTACTTTTTTTCTCCTTCCTAACATAAGTGTAGGCTATTACACTCAATTAGAGAGAGAGAGAGAAACAGTCATTAAAATTTCCTAGTAGTGTTTCACTGTTGATTGTCCAGACTCTTGTCACCAGATCCTGTTTATAAATAGTCCATTTTTTCCATGTATCATGATAAATTTTTTCAAAAGTTTCTTCCCGAGAAACTTTTCATTAATGTATTGGGTCATCAGGAAAGTCATGACGCATTTTAGTATAGAAAAATATATTATGACTTTCCAGGCAACCTAATACTTATTCCTGAGTACTGGCTGTTGTTTTCAAAACATTTGTTCCTACATTCATAGGCACGTGGGCTGGGATTCCTCAGGAATTTCTGAGATGTCTGATTTAAGTTTTCCTAAAGCTCTTGTTACTGACTCAGAGACCAAATTAAGTTACCATGTTTTGATTGCTTGCCTCACACTGGTGTTGAGTCAGTTTTGTTTTATCTGAGATCCAGTGTCTTATTACCTGTTTTTCTATTTGAGGATGTACATTCTTCAAGTTCCCTTGAAACTCAGGTTTAAGTGTGTGTTTCGTCTTCATTTGCCCTAGGAATATATTTTACTAAATCTATGGCCGCTGCCCCACGTGTTCCTCAATTCGCCTTTATGAAGTAAGGGACTAAAACAAGTGGGTCTGTAACCCCGACGTGAAAATATCCCCACTAATGTCAAAGACAGCTGGGGCCATTTGGGGAGTCATGCTTCGAAATGAAATTGGGAGGGGCTGGCAGGTGGCATGGTGGTTAAAGGTGCTGGACTTGAGTCCACCACATGGCCGGACGGTTCAAGTGCCAGACCTGGCGCCTTGCATTCTCACTTTCTCTCTCTGGTCAAATTGAGAAGAGAGAGAGAGAAATAACAATGATAAGTAAAGTTAAATAAACTAATTCTAAAAAAGAAAGAAAGAAATGAAGTTGGGAGATAGGGGCTGTTATTCACTTTTGCTTGGAAGTTTCTGACAGCCTGTTATCTCGTGCAACAGGAGTATTTACTATTGTCAGGTCTCTCTGTGCTGACAAAGCCAGATTGTATTATAGAATCTGAAAAAAGTCCAGAGGTGAGTATTTAGAGTGCCTGGATTGACCCTAAGGCATCAGTTCCCAAAGTATGGTACTTAAGCCACAAGTGGTACTTCAGACAGATGTTGATAATACTCAAATCATTGTTTTAATGCTTGCATTATGTTAATATATAAAAGAAAACTGTAACTAGGACATTAGACCTTAATTGTTAATAAACGTTTTAAAAAGTGAGTGGATTTAAAGAAAAGTCTCTAGTGACAAGTGTAGACAGTACATGGGTTGTCAAGAATCTTGAAAATAGTGTTTGAGGGGCCAGCAGGTGGCATGGTGGTCGAGGGTGCTGGGCTCCTACATCGCCAACTGCAATTTGAGTCCCGGACCTCATGGCTTGCTTTCTCTCTCTCTCTCTCTTACTCTCTCTCTCTCCCTCTCTCTGTCTCTCTCACTCTCTCAATCTGTCCCTCTCTGGGCAAATTTAAATAAATAAAGTTGGGACCAGCAGTTGGCATAATGGCTATGTCACTGGACTCCCATGTAGTCGACCACGGTTCAAGTCCCGGACCCAGTGGCTTAAACTGACACTGGGCGCTTGTGTGCATGCCCAAGATCCCGAGAGGAGAATGGAGGAGAAGGGATTGCGACATGGCCATCCCCCCTGGGGGGGTTTCTCACTTTCTGTCTCTCGGTTTCTCTCTGTCTTTCTGGCAAGCACACACTCCCTATAGCAAAAACCTCTCAAATAAATAAATAAATACATAAATAAATAAAGTTAAATAAAATAATTCTTTTTAAAAATAGTATTTGATCAGACTTGGGAAATACTGACATAAAGTGTGAAAGTATTTTTCTTCCTTTTTAATATATAAGAACAGTACAGTCAGATCCATGTAGGGATTTAACTGTCAGCTGAATCCTGCTTGCAGGTTTGTGTTTTTCATTCTAAAATCAGGGAAAAACGTGATATAAGTGATACCATAAACCTGTTAGTGTTTGTAACAGGGTTTTGTTTTCCATGTTCAGTCACTAGTTCCTATTGAATATTTCTGGAAAGAAATTAAAGTATGACATCATGCTGCTTGGTTTTAGATGGTCGAAACCCTGTATAATAACGGTGCTAATTCTATATGGGAGCATTCTCTGCTGGACCCTGCCTCTATTATGAGCGGAAGACGCAAAGCTAATCCACAGGATAAAGTACAGTGAGTAGACTGTTTATAAATACTTTTTATTTCTTTGTAGCAAATGGGACCCACTACAAGGAATGCAGCTATTTTTGATCAGCTTCCACCAGAGCAGCAGTACAGGAGGTGGTTGCCCAGTTGTGCACTGGGCTTTTCGCTGTTAGAAGTGCAGAATGAGGCAGGCTGGGACTGTCTCTTTTGCATGGTTACCCAACCAGAGTACATGGTTTCTCCAGTTGGAAACCAAGGTTCAGAGGCTGTCGATTTCATCAGATTTGAACTTAGGTGGTCAGACCAGAAACTTAGATCCCGGGGACCAGTCTGCCTGATGCCTCACCTATAACATGGGACTAAGTGCCACTTCCTCCCAAGGTTGCCATGTCAGTTAAGAAAATTATACAGAGAAGAGAAATGCTATAAAAAGCAGGGTACTCTGCAGTCCCAGCCACTATCGTGACTAGTGAGTGTTTTTAGACTTCAGATCTTAGACATTGCAGAAACTTATTTCAGTCCATTTTATTCTTGAGTGGGGGATATGGGTCACTTCCTCTTCTTTCTACAGTACAAAGAATGGGGAATTTCTTATCTGAACTGCAAGTGAACTGTTCTCTTTATTGTTTTCAAACCAGTCCCAATAAAGCAGAATTCATCAGAGCCAAGTATCAGATGTTAGCATTCGTCCATCGCTTGCCCTGCCGGGATGATGATAGTGTGACTGCCAAAGACCTTAGCAAGGTGAGTCACCCCTTTCAGAATCCCTGAAAGAGCCCAACGAGACAGAATATTGTTTTGTTTTGGGGTGAGGGGAGAAAACTAGGAAGAAAAGAAAGCAAAATAAAAGCTTTTTTCTGTAAAGTACTTTAAAAAATAAGTAACAGCTTTATTTATTTATTTATTTATTTTGGTAATTTGGTTTTGTCTTTAATTTTATCCAAATAGCAGCCATTCATGTTAGTGGAGGTACGAGAACAAAGAAGAATAATGCATGTCTAAAAAGTTAAAAAGTTTGTGTTTTTTGGATAAGGTCTTTTCTGTTTTTTTTTTTTTTTTAAGAGAGATTTTTTGCTACAGAGCACATGCATTCGCTGGAGAAACAGAGAGACAGAAAGCAAGATATCATCCCCTGGGATGACAGCCCCACCGCAGTTTCTTTTCTTCACTCTCCTCTCAGGATCTTGGGCAAGCACACGCACACACACATACACCCAATGTGAGTATTATGCCATCAGATCCAGGACTCGAACCATGGTCAACTACGTGGGAGTCCAGCGACATAACCATTACACCATGCACTGATACCAATAAGGACTTTTTTTAGAGGTTTTTGCTAGTGTTCATGAGCTCACCCAGAAATAGAGATAGTGAGAGGAAAAGTGAAAAATCACTCACCGGGAGGATGGCCACGCTGCAATCCCTTCTCCATTTTCCTTCTGGAATCTTGGGCAGTCACACTCCTGCACTCGTCATGATTTTCAAGCCATCAGATCTGGGATTCAAACTGTGGTCGGCTAGTGGGAGTCTAGCGATGTGACCACTGTGCCATCTGCTGGTCCTCTGATAAGTATTTTAACTTTTTCATTTGTTGAACTTTGAAATAGAACTCATCTCAGAATTTTTTTTTTTACAAGAGAAAGTTTTCAGGACAATTATTTATTTATTTTATTTTTTAATTGCCAGAGGACACAGGCACTCACCAGAATGAGAAAAAGAGAGGGGAGCAGGCAAAAGCACCCCCATTCAGATGTGGTCACACCATAATAGCTTTTCTTCCATTTCTTTCCTGTTAGGATTTTGGACGCACACACTTGTGCCCAACATTTTTTCAAGCCACCAGGGCCAGGATTTGAACCACAGTGACCATGTGGGATCTGGCTCCCTTAAACTCTAGGCCACAGACACCCCTTACAATTACTTATTACTAATTCAGGCTAGAAAAAGTACCGGGGGAGAACCAGCAGTTAGTGTAATGGCTATGTCGCTGGACTCCCACATAGTCGACCACGGTTCGCGTCCTGGACCCGGTGGCTTAAAACTCACGCCGGGCGCGTGTGCGTGCATGCCCAAGATCCCGAGAGGAGAATAGAGGAGAAGGGATTGCGGCGTGACCATCCCCTCTGAGGGGTGATTTCTTGCTTTCTGTCTCTGTCTCTCTCTGTCTGTCTGGCGAGCGCACGCGCCCTATAGCAAAAACCTCTCCAAAAAAAAAAAAAAAAAGAACCAGGGGACCAGCAGTTAGCATAATGGCTATGTCGCTGGACTCCCATGTAGTCTACTGTGGTTCGCATCCCGGACCCGGTGGCTTATAACTCATGCCAGGCACGTGTATGTGTGGAACCCAAGATCCCGAAAGGAGAATGGAGGAGAAGAGATTGTGGCATGGCCATCCCCCTGGGGGGTGATTTCTCGCTTTCTGTCTGTCTGTCTGTCTGGCGAGCGCACGCACCCTATGGCAAAAACCTCTCCAAAAAACAAAAAGTACCGGCAGAAGAGGGCTGTGTTCTTCAGGTTCCCAGATTGCGTAAAGGGTAGAATCTTGAGAAAGCAGTGTGTAACTGAGAGCTGTAGTACACAGAATGATACTTGTAAAGTGAGTAGATAGCGTTCTTTTTTATTTTTTTTTAGAATTATTTAACTTTTTTAGTTATTATTTTTAAATTTTACCAGAGAGACAGAGAAAGAGAGAAAAAGAAAGTGAAAATGCAAGCCACCAACTCTAGGACTCAAACTGTGGTTGACCACATGGGAGTCCAGTGCCTTAACCACCACGCCACTTGCTGCCCCATAGATAGCTTCCTATATGTGGGTGTTAGCATGTTTTTGAGAGATGCCAGATGAAATGTGTATCTTGGGGCCAGCAGGTGACGTGGTGGTTGAGGCACTGGATTCTCACATGGACAACAGTGGTTTGAGTCCTGGACCTGAGAGAGAGAGAGAGCAAACCATCAGTACATGTGCCCATAGCAAATTAGAAAATAATAATAATAGTAAATAAATAATTCTTTAAAAAAAAAAAAAGAAAGAAAGTAAGAAAGAAATGAACATCTTGAGGCCAGCCGGTGGAATAGTGTGGTTAAGGTGACTGGATCCCACATTACCAGCTGTGCGGTTTGAGTCCTGGACATGGCTCTTTGGAAGATATGCTGGGCGTGTAAGCTCAAAATCCCAAGGAGATAATGGAGGAGAAGGGATTGTGTTGTGGTCATCCCCTCCTGGGGTGCTATCACTCAATTTTTTTTTTTCTCTCACTTTCCCTCTCTGTCTGTGGCTAGAGCATGTGCCGTATAGCAAATTCAAAACAAAACCAGAAAGAAACATGCATCTTTATTCCCCAAACACTGCTTTTGATTATTGCTCACTCACAGAGCATGGACAGAATTTCAAATTTTGCATCAAAATGTACATAACTGCTACTCCCATTAATTAATAAGACAGTATGTGCTTTTTGGTTTTTAATTAATTAATTAATTTTTTGCTAGAGGATGTATACACTCACCAGAGAGAGGGGGAAAGGACCCAGTGGACCGTGGTAACACTGCAGTCCCTTTTCCTCTATCTGTCCCTCCTTTCAGGATTTTGGACATACATGCACATGTGTTCAGCTTATTCCTCAAGCTGGCCCAGGAATGAAACCACGCAGTCAGCCATGTGATATGACTGCCTTAACCACCAGGTCATGGAGCCGGCTCTCTTAAAGTATTTACTTATTTTAACAGAATTATTTATTTAATTTTATTTATTATTATTATTTTTTAATTTGATCAGAATGAGATAGAGAGAGGGAAAGTGAGAAAACAAGCCACCAGGTCCACAACTTGAATCACAATCAGACATGCGACCTAAACCACCATGCCACCTGCCTGCCCCAATAAATAAATACCTAAAAATAAGACTTGGGTGCAGATGTTAGAGTTCTCAGTTCCTGTGATAAGAATTGTTGAATCTTGGACAATTCTAGGGTAGGCATGAGGAAAGGCAGCTCTGAACCGTGCACAGTCACCTCCTCGTACTGTTCTTGCTCAGGTTCAGATTGTGCCACTTACGGGGACAAGTCACACACTTGGGCAGGTCAGCCTCATGGCCCTTGTTTCCTTGTCATTAAAATGGGTCCGACCCCACCTTACAACCCAGGGGTGATTGTGATCAGCAAAGGAGAGACTGGTCCATCCACTTGATTGAGCCAAATAAAGCTGATGCGTTACTAATGCAACATGTTAACATGGCCTACCAGCTGCTCTGGTATGTAATGTTTTATTTTTTTAAAAGGTCTTTGCCTTAGGGCACATGCGCTTGCCAGAGAGAAAGAGACAGTGAGAGGGAAAATGAGAAATCACCCCCCAGAAAGGGTAGCCACTCCACAGTCCCTTCTTCTCACTCTCCTCCTGAGATCATGGGCATGTATACACGCGCACCTGGTGTGATGTTCAAGCATCAGGTTTGGGACTCCAGCCATGGTCAGCCATGTGGACATAACCACTACACCATCTGTTGGGCCCTGGTACGTAATTCTTTACACTTTGGACAATACTCTTTTTCTGTCTGTGTATTTTCAGCAACTCCATTCAAGCGTGAGAACAGGGAATCTCGAAACCTGTTTGAGACTGTTATCTTTGGGAGCACAAGCCAACTTCTTTCATCCTGTAAGAAAACACGTATTGATTCAGTTGTTAAGTTGAAAATAAATGAGCTGTGTTCATATAGTTGTTAGTTTGTTTAATTTGCTCTTTTTGTTTACTTCTTACTAATGATTTTTAGGAAAAAGGAAACACCCCGCTCCATGTAGCTTCCAAAGCAGGGCAGATTTTGCAGGCTGAGTTACTAGCAGTATATGGAGCAGACCCAGGCACACAGGATTCCAGTGGGAAAACGCCTGTCGATTACGCAAGGTAGGAGGCCTGGATTCTTGTCACTTCTCTCTGGGACTCTATAATTGTTGGATGTGCTATGACTTGTGTTAAGTAGCCAAATCGTTTATGATGAGCCCTTCTACCCCCTTTATTTTTTTTGGAGAAGTTTTTGACATAGGGCACATGTGCTCACCAGAAAGACAGAGAGAGACAGAGAGACAGAAAGCGAGAAATCACCTCCCAGGGGAGATGGCCATGCCGCAATCCCTTCTTCTCCATTCTCCCCTCGGGATCTTGGGCACTCACGCACGCACTCGCACCCGGCGAGAGTTTAAGCCACCAGGTCCGAGACTCGAACCACGGTCAACTACATGGGAGTCCAGTGACATAGCCATTACACCAACTGCTGGTCCCCACTTATACCCCCTTTTTTTTTTTTTAAAGAATTATTTTATTTAACTTTATTTATTATTATCATTGTTATTTTCCAGTTTGATCAGAGAGAGACAGAGAGAGAGTGAGGAAGTGAGAAAGCAAGCCACCAGGTCCGAGACTTGAACCATGGTTGGCCATGTGGGAGTCTAGTGCCATTAACCACCACGCCACTTGCCAGCCCCCCCACTTATACCCCTTTAAAGATTGGCATTCTGTTATTTTGTGGACGAGGACACTTGCAGCACGTAGAAGCCTGCAAACTCAGGGTAGGGTACGATCATAAACCCATGTGCTTAGTGTCTGGTCTTTTACTTTGTCCCTTATAACACAGAGGTATGTGAGCCATAATCAGAGTCCAAATCAAATATTAAGAATTAACAAACTTGGGCCAACCTGTGGCCTGGTGATTAGGGCAGCTGGATCCCATGTAGCAGACTGCACAGTTCAAATCCCAGACTCAGCCTCTTGAAAAACTCTCTGGGCACATGCGTGTGCACATCCAAAATCCTAACAGGAGAGAGAAATGGAGGAAAAGTTTTGCAGTGTTACCGTCCCCCATGGGGAGTGCCTTCACTCCCACACCCCCTCTCCCTCTCTCTGTCTGTGACTTGTGCACCCACCCTCTGGCAGATGGAAGGAAGAGGAGGGGGCAGGGAGAAGAACCCGATAGTCTTAGTCTGCTGTTGTGTTACTAACAGAAATACCTGAAACTGGCTAATTCATAAAGTATAGAGGTTTATTTGGCTTACAGTTCTGGTAGCCAGTAAGTCCAAAGACACAGGATTGGTATCAAGGCAGCCTCTGGGGCTACCTTACGGCATGGCTGATAAGCAGAGTAGAAGGCAGGTGTGCAGAAATAGACTTAAGGGAAGCTATCCTCTTCTTCTAAACTGCTCTAGCAGTAACTAATCCTTCCCAAGAGAGCTAGAACTCACTTCATCTCTTGAAATGACATTAATCTATTCATAAAGGTCATGCCTTCACAATCCAAATATCTCCCAGTAGACCTCACCCCTTAAAGGTCCTACCACCATCTAATACCGTTACAATGGAGACCAAATTCCAGAACAGGAACATTTAGGAGACAAGCTATTATTTAAACCAAAGTACCGCTCTT